TTTTATAGATACTGTTTTTCGGCACCACTAACAGAAAACTACTAGCCTGAATAACTTATTACATTTACTAACTTATATCTGTAATTTAGCACCGTGCTAACTTCACAATGTTTACTAACACTGTTGTTTAGCATTCTCCTGGACCCTTGACTACCATGGGACTTTGACACTGGATAACTGAGTGTTGACTCAAGTGAGTAGCATGTGCCCTCAAATGTCTAGAAAAATGTCCCCAAAGAGAACCTCCACTCCTTCCTAAAATGGGCTTTGTGTCTTGCCAATTGTGTTTTCAGGGCCTGTGAATATGGCCTTACAAATCAACCTTATGTTTGTTCACTGTAATAAGCTATGCCTAATTAGATTGTACTACTAACTTTTGTTTGACAATTTACTTTGAAGAGTTTTTACAGTGGTATCTCTGAATGAGTGTGGTATGTAATTGGGGGGGCAGGCGTTATTTTGTATTTTGGAATCTGTGATGTTTGTTTTTATTCATTATTTAATTATTTTCCTCCCATATAATTTGTTGCCCAAAACTATAGAACATATAGTTTCTTGCTTTTATGTTCAAGAAAATTGATAATATTGCTAGCATAACTAGTACAATACAAATTAGCAACTAGCATATCATCTGTATAATGACAAATAAATTTAACCACCATGGTGTGGTCCGTGAAATTAGCCACTGTGACTGTCTTCACTTAGCAAAGGGAGAAAATAAAAAAAATGCCCAGTGAAGTCTCTGCCTTGTCCCACTAATAGCCAAGCAGCATTGAATCCCAGCCTCAGAGAGAGAAATGCAGTTCAACATAAAACCAAGTCATTAGAATAATGAAGAGGAGAGAAAAAGAGGAAGAGGAGGAGGGAGGAGGAGGGGCAGGAAGAGACAAGAGACATCTGTAGGTATGATTGAATGAATGAATGAATATGTCTAAGTTCTTTATGTGATTTTTTTTTGTAGGGTTACCCTGGCTTATTTAATGTTTGTGTAGACATTTACATGGTAGAAATTTTCACGGCAGAAATGTATGCCATTGTGATGTTCTGAGCAGTGTCCCCTGCAAGACTGTTGTCTTCTAATAGAAGCAGATATAAAATTTGAGAGTTAAAATTTAAATGAGGAAATTATAGTAGAATTATATCCTTGAGTAAAAAAAAAAAATAATGTATGTGTGAAAATGACTTTAATATTAAATTTCATTAAAAAGTAAGCTCTCTTATTCCCTACCCTAGGGCACTTAAAATACTAAGCAAATTAAACAACACTGGGCTGTATCAGTGTGTAGGATTACTCACCAGAATTACAAATTTAAAGTAACTGCATTCTATGTAAATTTTCTTGCACTGAGATTTTAATCACATATGTTCCCTAAATAATGAAATAATTACTTTTGGGAGAGCATCTGCTAAGACCAATGTGTAAATATTCTCAGTCTGCTACAAATCCAGAAGAAATTCATAATGTGGAATGGAATAGAAATATTGACTTTAGCTGCCCTATCTTCCATGTCTGTATCCCCAAGAGAGCATGAACATTGCTGAAATACTGGAGGCTGGGAGGATTTAAGGAGCGGTAAGGGTGAATACACACACCCAGGGTGCTCCTTCTCTTCCAGGTTTTGACACACTGCCACAGACTATGCAAAATAACTGGGAACATAACACAAACAGAATTTCAATTGTTCCCATGACCACGCTGGATCCTGGACACTGTCTTTGGAATCTCTAGTATTGCAAATCATTTTCAAAAAAGCCACTAAACCATAATTAGTGTGTCTTAAGAAAGTAATTAAAAGTTAGCTCTAAGGAACTCTACCACAATGAGCAGTTTAGTAAAGCTCATGATTAACCCTTGTTTTCTATAAGTGCATTATTGAGACTTATTAAAGGGACATTTTGAAGACTAGATTAAGATATTTACATAATTGTAGGGCCACTTACAAAACTAACTTTGAGAGCCCTTGTTTAAAAAAAAAAGTGTTGATTATCATTAAAGAGTAAACCTCTTCTGCCCACAGTCTTTACCATGACTTTGCCATGTGTTATTTACTAATTAATGTAATTTTAAAAGATGGAAACTGTAAATTATAGAACTTCGGCCTTTGACCTTGGTAGTGTACAATGCCCATTTTGAGTTTAGATTCGAGATCCTTTAACTCTCAACAGCAGTGCTGGATGTGCATAATCCACGTCTTGTAGTCCCTGCTTGCAGAGGAATTCCTAAGCAGAATTATGGAAAGGCTACACAGAGTGTTCCAACTTTTATCTTACCCATGACCCAGACATGCATATTAGGTGGGTATTCTTTTTAACTCAGGAATGAGCAAGAATGGAAAGGGAATTGTCCCATCATCCTCATTTCTTCCAGGTTGGCTAACACAGCAAAAATGGGCACAAAGGGGTTCCTTGCTGCTTGTGTTTCTTTAAACATCACCACTTTATTTCTTACCAAAGCAAGTTCTGGGCAATGTGACATATAGGGGCTATCAGTGACCCCCTCCACTTCCTCTCTCTTAGCCAGTGATAGGGTGTGTTTGTTCTCTTCTTCTATGTTGTGTGGTATATGTCCATACGTGTGCACACATGCCGGCCTGTGCATGCTCATGTGGAAGCCTCAACTCTACTTCTAGCCTCTTCTATTGCCTTTCCCCTTAGTTTTTGAGGGTTTCACTGAACCAGGAGCCTGCTGCACTTGGAATGTTTTATGTGAAGAGGGAAGCAGAAATCGGGGGACAAGTGTTATATCTGACCCCATTTGCTCTCATATGTGCTCCGTTGTCCCATGAGACTTAATTTTACAAAATTAAAGTTCAAAGATCAAAGTGATAACAATCTCAGTGGGTTGGTGAGATGACTCAGAGGGTTACTGTGATTTTCCGCAAGCCCTGTGACCTGTGTGATCCCTGGAACTCACACGGTGAAGAGAACTGACTTCCATAAGTTGTCCTCTGACCTCCACACCCCCCCACACACATACACACATGCAAAAGAGGTTTTTAAAAAAAGACATTTTAAGATGGTATAGAGCCTGAACCCAAATATGGGGTCCCTGTGAAGGGAGCAGCTGTATATGTTGCATGCCTGTGAACTGACCTTATCTCAGTGGGCTCACTATTATACCACATAATTGCCCAGGATGTGTAGGATTAGTGTGACATGTCATTAGTTTATAAAGTTATTAACACAGTTTTCTGTACACAGAAAACATGTATTATATAGTAGTTTATGCACCTGTAGTGTTCTACATCCCTAATAAGCACACCCAGTGGTGACTGTGTTCCTGTTAACTAAATTTGGGTTGAGAACTTCTCCTATGTGAGTTTCAAGTAAACAAGATACACTTTCAAACCTATGAGGTTCTGAAAAGCTTGAACACCTTATCTGTGTGTTGGTCATGAGACAACTATACAATAGAACCTGAGGTGAGTTTCAGTAGTTTTCTGGATTGCTTTCTTCAGTGACTAATATAACAGATTATATATTACAAATGGTAAGATGCCAACCAGTCTCCAGCTGTAAATGAAGTTGACTCCATGTAGCCTTGGGAAAGAGGGCCTCTTCATATCCCCAAAGGGTAAATGTAAATTCACATTACAAAGAAGACAAATGATAAATCAGAAGTGTCAGGTCCAAAAGTCCTCCAAGAAACATTGGGATGATAACTTATCAACTGGTTAGTCCAGTAGACTTCCTCAAAGAATGCTATTGTACAGGTCCTAGATTTGTATTTCATTTGTTTATTTATGTATGCTTCACCAACCAGTTATTCTGTGTGTATTAGTTTTTTGAAAGGCTATTTCATAAATTACTCAGTCCTTATTAAACACACATACATACATACATACATAGCTTTGACATCACTTCTCAGCCTTTTAGTTGAGATTAAGTATAGTATGCAATGGGTTTAGCATAATTTTACTTAAGACCTAAATATATTTTTAAGAATTGTCTTTTATATGTCAATGATAAACTCCAGTGCGTGGCCCAATATTCATACATTATAGGGCAGCAAAACAGAACTCAGAGGGTATAAAAAAACATGAATTGGGAATGGGAATGGACTGAATCCAGGAGACGTTAGGGGAAGAAACAGGAACTAAATATTATCAAAGTAAATTGTATATATGTTTGAAAATTTCAAAGCATTAATAAATATATTAAAAATTATATCTTGCTGGTGCAATGACTCAGAGGTTACGAGCAATTGCTGGCTTGCAGAGGCCCAGGGTTCGGTTCCCAGCACCCATGTGGTGGTTCACAACCATCTGTAACTATGGTTTCTGGAAATCTGATGCCCTCTTTTGGCCTGAGAGGGCCCTAGGAAAGCATATGTTGCATATACATAGATGGAAGTATGTGGGTAAACAAGTGTGTTGGATATACTATAAAATTTAGAAAGGCTTTCAAGTGGGCAGCAGAAGAGGACTTGGAAGGACTGCAGGGGAAGAAGAGATGAGTCATGAAGGCTGGAAAGCTATATTTTTTTTCAGTTTCAACTCTTGCAGTTTTTTTCACCTCTAGTTCTGAATAAATGTATATAATGTACTTGATAGTGAAACTGTAAAATCCTAAGCAAAGCTGCATAGCTTCAGAATGGACATTCTAACTGTATAGACGTTCACTGAGACGCATAGAGTTTGTGGTCTGGCAGGTATTTTGAGTGATTTCCTTAAACTAGCTGTGTGGTGTTTTTATTTGTGAGTTAATAAGAATAAGGGTCGTTTTACTTTAAAAAGAAAGGTCTGTGTAGCATTTTCTTTTTAAAGACCTCTTCCCCACCCATGCCCATTTGGATTAGAAAATATGGATCTAATTTTCATTTCTAAAACTTAATGGGCTTTTAAGGAAGTATTAATTTTCCAGTTCTTGAATATTCTTATTCTCTGGTACCGGGGTCAGAGAGAGTTTAACACCAGGAAATGTTCGTTTAGGACGTGAGTGTGCTAACTCCCATGCTCACTCTGAAAGAATTTTGCTGAAAGAAAATGCTGTTGTTTCAGATGCAGAGCCGAAGTATCTGATAGTCGTGCGACCTGCTCCTCCTCCCAGCCAGAAGAAGTCATGTTCAGGTACCGTCCTTGCACTGGCTTTTCTTGTAGTTGACTTTGCACCATGCAACTTCGCCTTCTGCTACACACCAGAGAGAAAATGTCCTGAGAATGTTTCGGCTGTGTAGGTAAAGATGGAGTCAGTCCTGAGTCTACAGCTTACCCCGTGGGAGGAGTTGCATAGCTTAGCCTTAGAGACCTCTCTCAGCACAAGTTGGCACTGCCATTTCTTGGGACTGTTTAAGCTGAGGTTTAGACAGTTAACACACTCTCTTCACTCTGGTTATTGTGATGGGTAAGGGAGTTAACACAGCTCCTGGACTGTGGTCACTGTCATTTTGGGCTAGGTCCTGCTAGCCTGTTTCTATTCTGTAAGGGTGACCTCTGAACTTCTTTTGGCCTTTCAGATTTTAAGAACAAAGCTTTGTGGTCTAACCTTGCCTTAAGGAAACCATTAATGTTTGAAAAGGATAACTCATTTCTGTTTATACTGAAGAAATTGGTGCTTTGATTTTATTTACTCTGTGTCTCTCCCTTCTGGATGTCTCTCAGACCAGAAGGCTGGAGACAGAAAATGGATACCATACATATAAATAAGAGTAAAACTTCTGTGTTACTGTGATACTGTTGCCAAGTCAACAGGAGCTGAAATCACCTTGAAAACCTGCCTCTTGGCACAGCAGTGAGAAATTACCCTCCAGGCATGCCTGTGGAGGATTGTGTTGATTAGATTAATTGAAATGGAAAGACCTATTTTAACAGTGGCAATACAGTTCCCTAAGCCTTAGGCCCTGAACCTAGCAAAAGGGAGAAAATCTCTGTGTGCAAGAATTCACCCTCTCTGCTCCTTGATCTTGGTTGTGCCCTGACCAACTGTTTTAAGCTCCTGCCATCTTTGATGCTACCGTAGCATATCCTTCTATGCTATGATAGAATTCCCCTTGAATTGTGAGTCAAAGTAAGCCCTTTCTCCTTTAAGTTGCTTTTGGCAGGGTATTTAATCACATCAATAGGTGGGAAACCTCTAAAGACAAAAGATTAAAAGCTTGCAATGCTCAATTAGTAAGACTTTGTCCAGTATGAAGGAAAGCTTGTAAAGGCTATGCATGGGCATCTTCTTTCTATCTTTGTTTCATTGACCATGATGTTATACTTTGTTTCTGCTGGTGTTAACTCTTTCCCACTCAGTCATTCCCTAACCACTTCTGTCTTGTGAGTAACCCTGGATGCCACACAGAAAAGCATCTTTATGGATGCTTGTTCTGCTTATCTAAAAGAATAAGAGGGAAGGAACAACACTAGACTCTTCAACCATGCCAAGCGTAGGAACCTTGGCTACTCTGAATTTGTACTCATACCAGCACAGGGCTGGTCACCAGAAATTTGTTTCTAACACCTTCAGCTTCCTTTGCTTGACTTTATTATTTCTTTTACAAGTAGCATTGAACAATTAAACATTTGGATCTATCTGTCTATCTATTATCTATCTATCTATCTATCTATCTATCTATCTATCTAAATAAAGTCTAAAGTATTTATGAATATCATAATCAATTAACTGGTTATAAACATTCTTCTCTATAAGCCACCATCTCTCATGTGGATGGTGACATGAATGATCTACATGTGACCTTCAAGGAGGAGAGAGGAGACTCTTGATTGAAGGTAGGAACAGACACAGCTTGGAAACAAACATGAGGTGATTATACTATTTATCCTGATTCTAAGTTGACTGTCAATACAACAGCATTATTTTATAAATGAACAGTAAGAGCCAGAAAAGAGCTCCTGGGAGTTCCAGCTTCCTCTGGGTGTTGTGTGATTGGCTGCAGATATAGCGCCCAAGGTTTGGTCAGTGCACTGGCTCAGATCTAAATCGTGCCGATGGGTCAGAGTATAGTGTCTTTCAAGGGTGTCCAAAGTCACAAAGAATGCAAGGACAAAACTCATATCCAGATTTCCTTGACTATTTTCCAATTTTCTTTGAAGTTCATCCTTGGCTCAGCTCACAGTACATGAAGAAATGAAATATATATGTATATATATTAAAAATATATAACTGGTCCTTCCTGCTATGGCAGACACATAGCTGGTCTGCTCCTGGGAAGACACCACATTCTGACCAATCCCAGAGGTACCACAGCACTCAGAGCAGTTGGTAAGAACCCTCTCCCACAACCCAAAGTCGAAGAGCTGTAGCTGGGAGACCACCACCACCACCAAGAGCAGCAGCAGCAGCAGCAGCAGCAGCAGCAGCAGCACACTAGGGACACATCACCCATCAAAACTCCACCTTCCTGAACACCACTCCCCTTCTGCCACCTCCCTCCTGATCCCTCTTGCTGGGGAAGACTTATAGCTGGCCTGCTCCCGGGAAGGCAACATTTTCTGACCCATCCCAGAGGATCTGCTGCACTCAGAGCAGTTGAGGATCCTCTGCACCCAGAGCAGTTGACTTTTAGCTGGTTTGCTCCCATGAAGACACCGTACCCTGGCCCACTGGCAAGGATTCCTTCTGATCTGAGCCACTGCACTGAGCAAACCTTGGGCACTACTTCTGCACTCAATCATACAACACCTAGAGAAAGCTGGACTCCCAGGAGCTCTAACACCCCTAGGATCATAGAGGAAGCTGGACTCCCAGGAACTCTAACACCTAGAATCACAGAGACAGCTGGACTCGGAGGAGTTCTGACACAAGCAAGATAACTAGAAAGACAGGCTCCAGTCAGAGACAATGAGTACAGGTAGCACTAGAGATAACCAGATGGCAAAAGGCAAGTGCAACAGTGTAAACTACAGAAAACAATGTTACTTGCCATAATCAGAACCCAATTCTCCCACCGTAGCAAGTCCTGGATACTCCCATCACACTGGAAAGGCAACATTCAGATTTAAAATTAATTCTCATGATGATAATAGAGGACTTTAAGAAAGACATAACTAACTCCCTTAAAGAAATACAGGAGAACACAGGTAAACAGGTAGAAGAAGCCCTTAAAGAGGAAACACAAAAACCCCTTAAAGAATTACAGGAAAACAAGACCAAACAGGTGAAGGAATTGAACAAAACCATCCAGAATCTTAACATGGAAGTACAAACAATAAAGAAATCACAAAGGGAGACTACCCTGGAGATAGAAAACCTAGGAAAGAAATCAGGAGTCACTGATGCAAGCATCACTAACAGAATACAACATATAGAAGAGAGAATCTTTGGTGTAAAAGATGCCATAGAAAACATTGACACAATGGTCAAAAAATGAAAAATGCAAAAAACTCCTAACCCAAAATATACAGGAAACCCCAGACACAATGAGAAGACCAAACCTAAGGATAATAGGTATAGAAGAGACTAAAAATTCCCAACTTAAAGAGCCAGTAAGTATCTTTGACAAAATTACAGAAGAAAACTTCCCTAATCTAAAGAAAGAGATGCCCATGAACATACAAGAAGCCTATAGAACTCCAAGTAGACTAGACAAGAAAAGAAATTATTACATAGTAATTTAATAATATTAATTCACATATTATGAATATTATGAATATTATGTCACATAATAATCAAGACACCAAATGCACAAAACAAAGAATATTAAAAGCAGAAAGGGAAAAAGGTCAAGTAACATATAAAGGCAGACCTATCAGAATTATACCAGACTTCTTACCAGAGACTATGAAAACTAGAAGATCTGTGAGGATGTCATACAGATCCTAAGAGAACACAAACACCAGCCCAGGCTACTTACTATACCCAGCAAAACTTTCAGTTACCATGGATGGAGAAACCAAGATAGTCCATGACAAAAACAAATTTACACAATATTTTTCCACAAATCCAGCCCTACAAAAAAATAATAGATGGAAAACTCCAACACAAGGAGAGAAACTACACCCTAGAAAAGGCAAGAAAGTAATATTCTTCCAACAAATCCAAAAGAAGATGGGCACACAAACATAATTCCACCTCTAATAGCAAAAATAACAGGAAGCAACAATCACTTTTCCTTAATATCTCTTAACATCAATGGACTAAATTCCCCAATAAAAAGACGTAGACTAACAGACTGGATAAGTAAATAGTACACACCTTAGTGACAAAGACAGACACTTTTCATAGTAAAAAGCTGGAAAACAATTTTCCAAACAAATGGTCCCAAGAAACAAGCTTGAGTAGCCATTCCAATATCGAATAAGTCCAACTTTCAACCAAAAGTTATCAAAAAAGATAAGGAAGAACACTTCATACTTGTCAAAGGAAAAATCTACCAAGATGTACTCTCAATTCTTAATATCTATGCTCCAAATGCAAGGGCACCCACATTCATAAAAGAAACTTTCCTAGAGCTCAAAGCATACATTGCACCTCACACAATAATAGTGGGGGATTTCAACACCCCACTCTCAGCAATGGATAGATTATGGGAACAAAAAATGAACAGAGACACAGTGAAACTAACAGAAGTTATGAATCAAATGGACTTAACAGATATCTATAGAACATTTGTCCTAAAACAAAATAATATACCTTTTTCTCAGCACCTCATGGTACCTTCTCCAAAATTGACTATATAATTGGCCACAAGACAGGCCTCAACAGATACAAGAAGATTGAAATAATCCCATGCATCCTATCAGATCACCATGGCCTAAGGCTGGGCTTCAATAACAGCAAAAACAATGGAAAGCCCACATACACATGGAAACTGAACATGCTCATGGATTGGAAGGATTAATATAGTAAAAATGGCCATCTTTCCAAAAGCAATCTACAGATTCAATGCAATCCCCATCAAAATTCCAACTCAATTCTTCACAGAGTTAGAAAGAGCAATTCTCAATTTCATTTGGAATAACAAAAAATCCAGGAGAGCAAAAACTATTCTCAACAATAAAAGAACTTCTGGAGGAATCACCATCCCTGACCTCAAGCTGTACTACAGAGCAATAGTGATAAAAACTGTATGGTATTGGTACAGAGATAGTCAAGAAGATCAATGGAATAGAATTGAAGACCCAGA